GCCTTTCTCAGAGCCCGTTACAGAAATCCTCTAATTAATGTCTGAAATTTCTTTCAACTTATTTCTTTTAAAACTAGGTGTATGTATAAGCAGTGCTCTGATTGCATCCCTAATATGTGTGTCTGCACCCTTAAATATCAATATAAATAACTGAAATGGAAACAGAAATATGCAAAAAATTATTTCAAACAAAACAAGGTTGTTTATCGAAATATTTAAGCATACAGAAGACCATAAATGTATAGTGCAGGAACTGAGAACATTTTGTACTGCATACACAACTTACGATGTGCCGCTTTCCAGTCAACTCCTACTTCCCAGTAATAGATATTAACCGTCAGAGGGCACTCCTGATCCTACAAAGGAGTAATGTGGTTTGCTAGAACAATAGTGAACAGTCAGACTTTCCTAATCTGGAAACATGCTTTACATGATTTATATCCCATTGGCATCTGGATTATGAGTCAACAGATGATAAAGTCAGATATTTATGACACCTCCATTTACCACCCTTTACAGCACAGTGCTAAATACCGTATAACTGATGCACTTGATTTAAAAGTCACTTGCAGCATAGTAGTTCTAATGATTTCTTCACAATTTAATATAGTGCTTAGCTCAGGCTGTGAAGGAAGTTTGCTAAAAGAAATGATTAACAATTGGGTCTGCGTTTCTTTAGCAATGTCCTTAGCGTCCATATAAGAGTGTTAGTCCGGGTCAAGATGCTGTGTCTGGTATAGTATAGTATGTTCTTACTAACATTCACCTAGGAGCAGCTTATTTGGCTGTACGTGAGAGGAGAGGCAGTCAGATAGGTTAGGTGTGTGCTTAGCAGAGAAGTGTGGTAAGCTTTAATATTTCCTTTCACATGGTTTTACACCCCTGCAAATTTTGCCTTATATGTCCTTTTGTAGAAGCATTTTTTTTTTCCTGTGAGAAACATTCCTAAAGTATGCATTTCTTTTTTTTCAATTCACGTCTATCCTCTGTTTGAAAGGGAGCACTTTTTTCTCCTTGCAAAAGCAAAAACTTGAAAACGGCGCAATTTTTGAGTTTATAACAGAACACTCACAAAAACAACAACTCAACTACCAAAGCGTTTTTCTTTTTTCCTTTTTTTTTTTTTTTTTTTCCCCTTGAGAAGCTTGCCTGATGGCAACCTAAGACAGGCATAAAAAGTGGGAGGAACATCATACCTTTTTTTTCACCCAGCCTCAGCTCCGCAGCACATTAGCATGTTTATTCCTCGAGAACAGGCAACTTCATGCAATTGGTTCTACACACTCTCCTTGTAAAAGTGTCAAGACTGCATAGAGGGATATGCAGGAAACGGGAACGTATCCAAGCGGAGGGAACAGCAGGCACTGCTTACATGTATGATCCGAGACCTCAGGGGTAGGATTCTTGTTTCGTCTCTGACCTGGGCTCTGTATTCATCCCAGTGTTCCCATCTGTGTTTTATCTGACGCTGATGCTGGTGCTTGAATCCAGAAAAAGATTTCCATTTTAATGGGTAGATCCTGTTGCATCTTTTTTGGGGGAGACAGGTTTGGACTGTGTGTTCAGAGATCTGTTGTGCCATTCAGTTTCGCTCCAGTACTCTGCTGTTTGAGCTTCAATGTCCATGTGGTTTCAGCAGTGTTGAACTTCCTTCATGCTGCTGTGACGGTACAAACTGGGTTGGCATCTACCTTGACCCAAAATCCCAAATCCCAGCCCGGATCCATGGGTCTCCGGAAGAGTTCTGGAGAGAATTTGCTGGCTTTTGCCACTACTATTCTATGTCAGCTGATGGCTGGAAAGCTAACATATGTAGGCAGTTTCAGAGATAGTTTTTAAGTTGCCTGGAGTGCAAAAGGGAAAGTTGTCTCCTTGGTATTGTTATAATAGGCTTATTAAATCAGATTTTACTTTTCTAGAATTCATTTGCATGCTAAGGCAATGGGCAAATAACACAAGGACTGATTACTTATTACTGTGTCTCATATAGATGACAGAAATACCCAATATGAGAGTAGCGTTGTTTTTTTATGACTAAAACTGTCTTGTTTCCTGCATGTAACTTACTGTTGAGTACTTGGGGTTTTAGGAAGTACTGGTGTCGAGTCATCTCTCTGTTTACAGTGTAGATTCAGAAATGCTTTTAACTAAGCAAAGTCATTCCAGAACTTCTCTGTGGCTTGTTAAAATGTCTTCACTGATAGCAAAGAATATGAAAACAAAGTGTGGACTGGGAGGACTGAAGGGAGGACATGCCAAAGGTTGATTTCTCTTCAGCAGGTCAAATGTTTCCAAGCTGGGAACAAGGAACATTTTTAATGGCCTGGCACACTCACGGGGAGCTGCCTGAGGAGTGTGTGTGTGTGTGTATACGCTGCGCTCCCAAAGGTTTACTGGAAGCTCATAGGCACAGATAGCCCCTGGGCTGGGTGAGTTTTTGGCTGGATCAAGGATGCATGATGGCCAAGCTGAGCAGAGACAAGCAGTTGTCACCTGTTGGCAGGACACTTGGACTCTTTGCTTCAGGCCACGGTCAGATACCTAAATCCCATCTCAGCTTCCCTGTCTAGCCTATGGGGAGCTGGGCAGCTCTGATGGCTTCTGGAGAGCAGCCCAGAGAGTCTAAACAAGACAGTGAGCAGGGAGATACCTAAAGGAACAGGGAAGAGGAGTTGGTTTTGGTCAATAGGAAACACGGACCAGATGTCCCTATGTGCGGAGAACTGAGATTTGGGTGGAATCGAGGCTATTAGAATATAGTTCTTCTGTTTGGTAGTCTCTCCGACCTTAAGGAGGGAAGTACACAGCTGAATGAACACAGATGGGAGTACACAGCTTGACAAAGAGGCCAAAACCAGTCATGCTACTTATGAGAGGGGTAATACCCAACATATCTCAAGATCCATGCAGTCAGGGGCCAAGAACTGCTGTGGACCGTTAAGCTTTGTGTGATTATAAAAGCGCAGCCCTCCTGTTTTGACATCACTTCTAACCTTCCCTTATAAGGACAGTACAACAGGTTTTCTGTGGGTCAGACTTGCAGATTGCTATGTATTTGGTTTTGACTTTTTTTTCACCCATGGGAAATTATGACAGAGAGCAACTGTGATTACTTGGCTAGAAAATGACTTTAAACTGTCTGGTGTTGACTGTCCATTTCGAAAGTATTTCTCCTATCAGTGTCTCCTTTTTTTTTCATATTTCCCTCACACTTTCACAAGATTTATTAAATGCCCGCCTGCTGGAAAGAGTTCTGCAGGGATTTGTGCTCCTCTTAAATCAAGGGCAGCAGTCATAGGCCTTACACTGCATCTGATCATAGGACTGTTTTTTATATTTCCTTGAAATGATCCATTCAGGCGGAAAAATGATCCACGGAAAATGAGATTCGTTGAAATTCAGAGGTAAAGTCCATCTGAAAGTGGACTTCAAGGGATTTAGGTGTGGTGATGGCAGCCATTATAGCCCGCGCGGTCTGCTACCCTCTGCTGCCCCCAGAGCAGAGAGAACTGATGGGAGGTGTTGGGGCACACCGGTTTCTGCCACCTCAGTGCTAGGAGTGGTCACGTCTAGGATCGGGGAAAGGCACACGGTGGGGCACTGGTGTCTTCGGCTGCCTCCGCTGGGCCTGGCAGAGCTGATCCATAGAGCCCAAGGAGAGTAAAGGCGTTGTTCGGTGCCATTCTTTCGAGCAACCCTGATAAAGCTGAGATCATCCTGTTCATCAGTACTACAGAAGTGATGCCTGAGGTTGGTTGAAACATTGGGAGTGTGGAGATGCTGGAGAGGGCCTAGTCGAGGGCTACCAAGGTGGTCAGAGGCCTGGAGGACATGCCTTTTAGGGAAAGGTGAAGGGAGCTGTGCTTGGAGAGCCTGGTGGGGAGGCAGCTATGGGGCAGTCTAATAGCCTGCAACTGCTTGAGGATAAGCTATGGAGATGATGAAGCCAAACCTTCTTGATAGTTTCAAGGGGCAAAAAAGGGGCCACAGCATCAAACTGTAGCTTTGGAGGTTAGAATGGAAGTGAGGAATAATCTTTTCTCTTTGGAAGGTAGTGCAGGATTGGAGCAGGGTACCCAGAAAGGAAAGGGAATATCTATTCCTGAAAGTTTTCAGGACTTGACTAAACAAAACCATGGCTGACTTGGTCTGGTGCTGGTGATAGTCCTGCAGGCAGGCAGTTGGACTAGATGACCTCCAGAAGACCCCTCAACATCAACGTTTCTGTGATTCTGTGAAAAATGGAAAGATTTTGCTCAAGTTTGACTTCGAAATAACATACTGTTTGCAAGCAACTTAGAAGAGGTGATTTCTTTATTAAAAACGATAGGCAAAAGTGTTCGCAGAAAACTTACACTACCACTTCTCAGTGTTCTAAACAATGCTAGTGCTGCTGTAGGCTTTGCTTAAAAATTACTTTCTTTTCAAACAATCTTTAAAAACTAAGTCTTGTCACTTAATTCGCACAAAATAAAGAACTCCTTTTCTTTTCTTACCAGTGAATAAACGCTGTAGTTGATTAGGTACATCTCCTTATGCAGTATGAATAGCTGCTGCACATGTATGTGTGCGTGTATATATATAGGATATCTCTAAAAAGGATAAACGCAAACATTTTTTCACTCAGCAGACTGCTAGCTCTCAGTTGTCACCTCATAACTATAAATAATAGCTTTGGAGCTAGGTATATTTCAGACAGAGGCACAGAAAGAGTGAGCAAATAGAGTTATTTTTTTCCGTATCGTTGGCACACCATTGTTCCGCTGTGGTCAGTGGTAGGATGTGCAAACAGTATTTCAGATTCCATAGGAACCTGTTTTGTATTTATGCTAGGCCAGCGTCATGTGTTACTCGACCGACCGGAGGGATGGGAATGATAACCAGCGGCTTGCTTGGGCAAAAAGGCAGAGGTGCTCTTCCATAGTTAATAAAGAGGCAGAAACTTGAAACAAAATCGGACCAAGCTATATGTTTTCAGAACTTGAATTTGCCTACGTCAGCTAAGTTTTGTCATGGCAAAAGTGCAACGAGGAATGTGGGAACGCTTTCACCAGGTTGTCTTCATCTGAAAAAACAAAGCAAGAAAGTGAACAAATTTTAACCAGAAATTGAACGTTAGCCACTTCTGTGAGTCTTTAAATGTTAACATCTATGGAAGAAATACTATATTGCTGTGGCTTTTCCTCAGTGCATTTGCAGGAAATGCCAAACAGTAACGCTCTCCAGTTTAAAACATGAGAGTCATGTGACAAAAGGAAAACGCACGTGTAAAGCTGATTACTGGGCTTTTACAATCTATTTTCTGCCCGCTTTAATAAATGTTAATGAAGAAGTTAGCTTTTTTTGTTTGTTGAAGTCAGTTTTTTGCTATAATTTATGCAGGGTGGTAACTGCTACTGTGGCATCACCAGAGAAGAGCAGCACAGTGGTTGCACATGGCAGTACTCTGGCAATGTCCTGCTGCTCAGATGCACCCCAGGTTGATCCTGTCACATTAAGGGTGTTTTAAAATGAGCCATCATTTACGGATTCCACCTAAAGGAGTTTTCAGCTGGCCCTGCAACGCATCTTTATGGCCATTTCCTCCACCGCATATTTATCCTTGGAGAATTACAAAATGCAGAGACCAAGTGGTTGTTCAGGTTCACTGAAATGCACAGGAAGGATTTTTACTGATAATTTCAAATCCTGTATTAACTGCATGGAAAAAATATTTAATATCGTTAGTAATCTGACCATATAGTTCCCCTTGCCACTTTATGGTATATTTCCATTCAGTTTTAAAGAAGGAGAAAGAAGGAGAAGCCATACTTGAATCTGACGTAACTTATCTAAAATTTTTGAAGATTTTTTCATTATGTTAACCTGCCATCTCAGATTCAGAGAATAATTGTTGTGGATTTCTAAATTTATATCGATGCAGGTTAATGCTTTGCAGTTGGCCTGCATGAAGTTGGATTGGCAAGGAAAGTGGCTTTTCTGTTGTTACAGTGATGCCCAGTCAGCCGTGCAGTTGATAAGTGGACTACTCAGGCACAGAAGGTCACAAGGAAATAGAGATCCATTGGTTGCACAAAAATTAGGAGCACCGTGCGCTCTTTCAAAATAAGTTACTTTGTCAGGTTCCAGTTAAGGTTCAGTTTTACCTTTAAATTCATTCTTGTGGAAGTTTTCTTAAATCAGTAATGGAAATGCTAAATGACCTGCTCAAAAGTTGCATTTCTGCTTATTTTCTGCTTTCATTGTTATCATTAAGAGAATTCTTTGGGCAAATTACAGTAGAAGTTACTGGTGTTTTATAAATGTATCTGTACTTTCCTATTAATGTCAGTACCAAAGGGCCAATGGCAGTTATGTACAGTAATGCAAGTTCTTACACACTTAAGTCTGGTCCCGTGTGTATAATAAATGAGATCTACTCCGAAGAATTTGGAAAGCCAGGAGGTTGTAGGGTTAGCCTGCTATAAAATACCAAGGGACTGAGGCCCTGATCCCCAGTCCGTTCTTATTTGTAAAAGCACTTCAGCACATATGTATCTCTAGGCATGTGTTTAAGACCCATTGACATCAATGAGACTTTAGCTGATGCTTAACCTCTGAGCATATGCTTAAAAATACCCTGCTGAATTGCTGATCTCTCTCAGGCCTTTAGCCTGCCCCAAATACAAACCTTTACTTGCTTCTCTAGGTCACTTGTTTTGGCTTGGACTTCAGATTTTTTCTTCTGTAGCATTTCCTTTTTGCTCAGCTGGCCAGATCTATTTTCTACAACCCCCATTATCACACACACATGGTGTTCATTATCACTCCACATTGCTCCACATTACAAAGTCGAGTACCCAGTTGGCTCATTCAATGCTTTCAGTGAAAGTGCTATCTATTTATAGTTTTCTGCAAATTTAAAATCGTGCGGGGAAGAAGCTGTTGTCAGTTCAACAAACACTGTTTATATTCAGGTGTTGTTGGGATACGAACCTTTCACTATAATCCTTTCACTCTCTTCCACTGTGCGACATTATTACGGTATTAGGTGGGATATTTAAAAGGCTCCAAAAATCCATTGTAGCTTTCCCAGACTTTTGGACAAGTTGTAATTACTGTTGGCCACAGTATTTAGTGCAGAAAATTTTCTTACCAAAAATACTATTTTGTTTACGCTGAATTTTTATAGTGTTACTTTATTTCCACTGGAAATTTTCAATTTCCCTCCAGCAAACACATCCCAAAGTGTTTTTCATATTGAACCAATGTTTCAGAATGAAATTTTTTTAAATTATTTTAATGTAGCATGTTGGGGTTTTTGGTGAAAAAATAATGATATTTTAAGTCAAAGTGAAACTAAAACACGACTTTAAAATTGTCAAAAATTTCCCATGATGGAAACCTACAATTTCAAAGGAAAAAGTTCAAATAAAGATTTTTTTCCATAAAACATGAAAAAGAGGTTTTTCCATTTACCCCTAGTTAACAACGTAGAATTTACCTGGTGTCTTTTATTACTACCGAGAGAAGCCTGTGAGAGAATGCCCTCAATATGGGCTCACTATTTTGAACTTTTACGCAGCAGTCGTCATGTTAGAAGACCAACTGCACTGGCCCAAGTCGTGGAAACCCCCCCAAATTTCATGGGTCTCAAGATGAGGTGTTTCTTAGATTCAGTAAAGGCACATGAGAGCTCCTGAATGTGCCTGCGGCTCATGGATTTCTGTTAGAGCACAGGATACTCTTAGCAGATACCTAGGCACATGTGAAAGGATAGCCATCTCCCAATTCCAACAATTGTCTCTGGAAATTATAAAGAGTTACTTAACCGTTGTTTTTATTATCTGGTGTCCACGTTCAGATGTTTACCATTGAACAGTCACGACTAAAAATGGTTTCCGCTGCACATACTGTTTAAATACATTTCTTGGACGAATCCAGAAAACCACCAATCAGTGAACTGAAACTCAAGCTCCTACTCTACTTGTCAGGAGATTCTAGATCCTCATGTTACACCAAAACATAACAAACCGTTAAGACCATTTCATGCTTCGTTGGCTTCAAATAAACCAGAAGTACCCAGAAAAAGGTTTCCTCCGACTTTCATTTGTCTGCATCCGAATTTGCCAAAAATTCAGATGTTCTGCACGCTTTGCTCTTGGCTTCAGTCACTGCGTCTTACTAGCAGGGCAGAGGATTTTGTTTTCCTTGCAGGTGAGGAACAGCAGAAACGTTTTTTCACAGAAGCGTTGCGGTTCGGGCATAAGGGGGCGTTTGTATTTTACTGCCCACACAGGCCCACGGCGTCAGCTTGCGAGGTGCTGCCCCTGGTTGACGGAGTCCAAAGCCTCCTCACCGCGGGGCAGTTTGCAGCCTCGCACGGATCCCGTGCGAGTGCTGGTAGCTGGCACGATCAGAGCGGGGATCCTCCAGGACAGATGGAATCCAACACATATTTTATAAGATTTGAGGACAGACGGGATTCTTAATTCAAGGAAAAATTCCTTTTGCCTCCTTTTTTGCTGACTCAGCGTATTGTTTGCAGCTGGGCCAGAGTGGGAATGCCTGCCTGTGTAGAAGAGTTATATGACTTTCTGGCAAAACTAACTAGTATGGAACTAATTGCAGCCCACCCAAACCTAGCAGGAGGCAGGGTTTTCCTTTCAATTAAAAGCATTCTGCTAGAAGGCAGCACACAAGATCTAATGCGTGTGTTCAGATGAATGCTTAATAATAGCTTTCGTGGGCTTTGGGAAAAAAAAAAAAAGGCCTTCAGGAATGAAGGCAAACAGGCTATGGAATTTAAAGAAAAATATTAACTAAGGGTCCAACTCCAAACCAGAAGCTGGGAATATCTTTCCTGAAAAGAATTTTTCATCTACTAAAGGGGTAGATCTGAAAGAAAAATTAAAAAGGCCATTATTAATTGCACTGATCTCATTTATTAAAATTCCTATAGCAGGCTGGCACTGCTCATCTTCGCAGCCCCTCTTGTTAGCAAATTTTGAACCCTCTGGTTCTTGTGATCTCTTGTCTGTTTGGCAGGTGTAAGACACTGACTCCATCCTTGTTGTAAGGTGGGGGGAGTGGGGAGGGTAATTACCTCCTAAAACATGGGGAGCTGTGATTTAGGACAGGAATTTTACTGAGGAAAGCTCAGGGGCAACTTGGGTCAGTTGACAATTATGTTTGTGCTCTTATTACTCCAGTTACCCACAAAACCAACTCATCCCCAGAAGGCTAAAGGATTTGGATTAAATATGGTGGAGGGAAACTCTTCAAAGCATGCTGTCTTGTCTGCCAGGGGGTAAAAATGAAGTTTCAAGCTGCCTGCTGTACAAAAGAAATTGTGAGCAGGGAAGACGGGAATGGAAATGAAGCTGTTGAAGAGCAGGGGGAGGTGATCTGATCTCTACTGAAGGACAGGCTAGTCATGGTGATGACTGAATGATTTACTCTCACCAAGTGGGATAGGGATCTTTCACAAAGGGCCAGAAGACAGGGAAGGGTAAGAAAGGCTGAGGGAGTCCTTGTAGAGCTGGCTGCCGGTGGGAAAGGGGCTAAGGAAGGCCCACGGTGCTGTGAGGTGCTACCAGGGAAGAGCATGGGTTGCGTGCGAAAGGTGCTGGCCGGACTGAAAACTGACGTATGAGAAGTCCCTGTGCCAGGGGGCTGAGGGAGGGAGGCAGCAGCCTGTATTCAGGGAAAGGAGAGCAGGAACCTGGTGACGGGTTAAAGGTGAGGAGCACAGCACTGTTGCTGGTCAGGCATGGCCGTGGGGAGGGGGAACCAGGGGAAGACTTTGGATCTACTGGAATTTTTGTGGTCCCACTGGAAGGAGCTGGGCTATCCTGCCATCATAAGCAGCCATTCTCCCCCTCCTATGTTGCTTGTTATTTGGGGCATTGTATGGAGAACCTTTCTTCCTCCTCTTTTAGAAATGTACATAGCATTTTTAATTTTTTTTTTTCATGTTTTTGGGTGCTAAGTGAAAAGGCCCTGCTATCTGCCGTGGACCTCTGGCTGCCTGTCTTTGAAGATCGGTATTTGAATAAGGATTATTTTCCATCCAGTAATAACGGA